ACTGTGGAACACATCGCAGGGCAGGCTGCTCCTCGTCCATTTCTGATTGACAGTCCTGGCAGGTTTTGAAAGGAGAAGAGCACTTGGGGCCATGGTCCTTCAATTTGAAGTAAATATGCAAAACGACAGATGCTCCTTCCCACGTGTGGAACAGCTGTTCTTGTGAGGCTGACCATAGGGCCAGAGCCCAGCAGCCTGAGCCCCCACAGCACTGGTGCCAGGTCCCCAACTCCAGGATTGGTAAGGGGCTTGAGGAAGGCCAGGTGCATCTCAGCCTGAGGGAGCAGTTTTTCTGCATGACCTGCCTGGCTTTGCATTGAACCAGCACAGATGCTTCCCTGGGTGGCAGTCCAGCAGAATGTTCGTCACCATGGCCAGAATAGTCCTTGTACTGCTTCATGTTTCTCTCCAAAGAGACTTAAATGATACCCTAGCTGGTTCCTTCTATTAGATCAGGCATCTCAACCTAGACACTATGGACATTTTTGACAGGATAGCTCTTTGTTGTGGGCTGCTTTTCACATCACAGGATGCTCAACAGCCTCTCTGACCTCGACCTAGGAGATGCTAATGGCACCTGCCCCACCAGTCATGACAACCAACTGTGTCTCCAGGCATTGCCACATGCACCCAGGGACCTACACTGAGCCGCTCTGTCAGGTCAGAGACCAGGGCCTGGACAGCATCATCTCCACTCCCTCTCCCCAAATTCTTTCCCTGCACAGGGCTTTGGGAGATGCCTGTGGCTTATGCAGAGGGAAGTTAGGAAAAGCGCTGAGCGCACTCCACAGACCTGCTGCAATGGCAGAGAGCGCCGGTTCTGCAGGGCATGAYTCTGCCTCAGCAGACAGCAGGACCCACCTCCTGGCCTCTGCCTYTAGAGAGCTGTGGCTGGTTTCTGTGAGGGGTTCTAGGAAGCTGATGACATCATCATCTCCACCACCCCACCCCCATGGCTACCATGTCCTGAGTACCTGCTGTGGCCGGCTCTGTGCCAAGGGCTCCACATCCATTTCTCATCTGATTCTTTTGACAGCCCTAACAGGAAGGGACTATTGTTGCTCCCAGTTACAGAAATGTGACAGAGACTCAGACAAGCGGAATCGTTTGCCAGAGGGTCACAGCAGTAAGTAACAAAGCCAGCATCCAAAACCCAGGCCTCTGCTTGGCGCAGTGGGTGTGGCTGTAATCCCAGATACTTGGAAGGCTGAGGCAGGAGGATGTGGAGTTCAAGGCCAGCCTGTGCAATCTAGCAAGACGCTGTCTCGATATGGGCTGGGGATGGAGCTGAGCGGTACACCACCTCTGGGTTCAATCCTCAGTATCTCAAAAGCGCAGAGGACTCTGAAGTCTGACTAATGTCGGTGAATTGTATCAATTTCAGTTTCCTGGTTATGATGTTGTACTGTAGTTTTGCATGGTATTTGGAATCTTTATTATTTCTTGCAACTGCCTGTCAATCTATATTTATCTCAAACTCTTTTAAAATGAAGAAAAAGCTGGGCACGGCGGCACATACCTGTAATCCCAAAGGCTTGGGAGCGGAATTGCAAGTTCAAAGTCAGCATCAGCAATTTAGTGAGGCGCTAAGCAACTTAGTGAGACCCTGTCTCTAAATAAAAAAGAAATTTTAAAGGTGGGGAGGAGTCTGGGGATGTGGCTCAGTGGCCCCCCAAAAAAAAAGAAGGAAAAAAATGAGCAGGTCTGCCCTGTTCTAGAAGCTGACCTCTGAACCGCTTCTGTAGACTGGTCCTATTTCCCTTCCCATGCTATTCTGCAGTGAGCTCAAAGCAAAATCTATGGCCTTTCTCCAGTAAGTAAAGTACACAGGAAAGACTCCCTCATCACACCTCCGGCTCTTCCTGTTCCTTCTCCCATTTTTTTTTTCTCTGCCCTGTTGAAATTTTTTTTTTTTGTACTGTATCTTTAAAAGTTCTTCAGTACTTTCTGGAATTATGGTAAGGTTTAAAAAAAAGAAACCCTGCAGAATCAGAAGGGGCTATTGCTGTTGCACTGTCACGGCTGAAGGTTCAGCCTTCTTACCAAGCCAATGTGGTCTCCACTTTTGCATTTAGGATCATGTGCCCCATCGCCTCCACTTAAAAATAAATGTTTTTTAAATTTAAAAACAAAAATTGCTTTTGTCATTACCCCAAATCACACCCTAATCAACCGTCTCCTCTCCCCTTAGCTCCATTACCATCTCAGAGGTAGTGAAGGCGCCAAGGACAGCTAAGAAACACAAGGTGGCCCCGGAGGATGACGGTGAGTAGTCACTGCAAATAGCAGCTATTATGACCTAGAGCTGGGCAGACAGTTGGGTGTAGTATGTCCTTTCACCCACTCAGGCCCTGCCCTAAGGCGGGTGACGATACCCCAGGCACAGACAGGGAACTGAGGCTCTGAGACAGAGTCACTTGTCTGCACTAAGCTCCTCTGTCTGACCCTGAGCAGGAGCAGGCTCCCCCCTGAGTCCATCGCCCTGCTCAGCTCTGTGAGCTCATTGGAGGCTGCCTTAGGTACTGGGAGGCTTAACTAGTGACTTCCAGAAGCTTCTGAGGGCTCACTGCCCCAATCTGGCAGCTGCCGCCCTGCAAACACTGCATGTCCTGGCCCATCAGATACGGAGCAGGCCTCTCTCAGATGAGGCCTCAGTTTGCAGTCGCATGACGATGACTCCCAGGACTTCAGCTCTGCACCAGGGGCTCCTTGAGGGCAGAGGCCGTCAGCCTCAGCACCCGGGAGAGGAAAGGTTGGCATCCAGCAGCGCTGACTTTGCCCCTGTGAATCTTAGGCTTTCGGCTTTTCTTCACATCCATCCCTGGAGGCGGAGAAGAGGAAGCTTCTCCCCGCCCCCGCCCAAAGCGCCAGCCCTCCAGCTCCAGGTGAGAGCCCGCTCCTCTCCTCACAGCCCCTCCTGTCTTCTCCCGTCTTGGCCATCCCCCTGGTGTAATGAAGCAGACGCCAGACCAACAGGCCGTGGAAGGGGCCTGTCAGGTAACTGGAGAGGCACACCCAGCAGGCAGGGTGCTTTGGGCTTCTTTGGGGTGGATCGGTACTGTTTTTAAGCACTCATTTTGGGTCAGACTCCTTATTTTCTTGTATTTGCCTCCTAAGACATCCCTGTGAGGTCTGGATTCTAAGATCCCCATTTTGTAGATGAAGATACTAAGGGTCAGAGAGGTTAAGTCACTTAATGAGGTGTAGGTCACAGGGTTTCTGGCAGAGAAGACTAGAGCCCAGGTGTGCCCCACTCCCAAGCCTGCGCTCGCTCTCAAACTGCCTCCATCTTAGACTCTGACCAAGGGGGGGCGGCGGAAGGCGACTTTGGGACTTGCCCTGACCGCAGCTGACCTACACTGCCCTCCCCTTGCAGCAGTGAGGACAGTGATGAGGAGTGGCAGCGGTGCCGGGAGGCAGCCGTGTCAGCCTCGGACATTCTGCAGGAGTCAGCCATCCATGTTCCTGTCAAGGTGGAGACGGAGGCCAAGAAGAAGAAAAGGAGGCTGAGGAGGAAAGCCCRGGAGGGGGCCGGCTCTGGCTCAGCTGCAGCCACCAGCCCCGCCTGCGGGACCTCGGTCCAGACCCAGGAAAGGGAGTCAGGGAGGGCCAACGGGGACCCGGTATCACTGGGGACCAAAAAGAAGAAAAGGAAGAAAAAGGCAAAGAAAGCCAGYGAGGCGTTGCCATTTTCACCAGCAAAGAGCGCAGCCGCTGCGCCTGCCCACTGACCAATCTGTGGGCGCCGTCCCCAGCTCAAGGACAGGCACCCAAGGGCGGCAGACCGCGATTCCACATGAGAGCACCTGGCTGGCAAGCTGCCTCCGCCCACAGACCTGACAGTGTGTGGGGCCTGGYCCAGAGTCTGGGCAGAGAAGCCTCAGCAAGGCCTATCCCCGTGTTTCCACGGAGGGCCGGGTGGACCTCTGGTTCCAGAACATTCCATGGCCTCAGGAAGGAGTCTTCCAGCTCTTCAAGACTAGTGGCCGAGTGTTAAAGTTGTCATCTCCCTCTCACCCTCTGAGATGGGCAAGGTCTCTCTCCCTCCCCCACCTCTTCAGCTTGGTGTAGAAGATGTCTTCAGAAAATGAGGGAAGGAGCCCCCAAGGTGCCAAGGCCCAGGGAAACCTCTGTCCTCCTCCCTCTAGCCTACATAAGCTTGGTAGAACTGCAAAARAGGAAAGATTCCACCCCCTTGTGCCATTCTCCAGAATTTTCTTTCTCCACATTTGTGAATTTATCATACACAATGATGTCTCCGAGCCAACTAACTCATCAAAAATAAATTGTCAGACTGGGCACAGTGGCCCACACCTATAATCCCAGCAGCTTGGGAGGCTGAGGAATGAGGATTGGTGAGTTCAAAGCCAGCCTCAGCAAAAGTAAGACACCGAGCAACTCATTGACACCGTGTCTATAAATAGAACACAAAATAGGGCTGGGGATATAGCTGAGTGCCCCAGAGTTCAATCCCCGGTACCAATAAAATAAAATAAATTGTCAGAATGGGGATGTAGCTCAGTGGAAAAGCACATGTTTAGCAGGCACAAGGCCCTGGGTTCAGTCCCCAGCACAAAATGAAAAAAAGAAAATTGTGGAGGTACCCAGTGCTTGGAATACGTTGGGCACGCTCTCCCCATCATGCTGGATTCTCATGAACTATTTTCAGTGACATCCCATGTGGAATCCTCCCACCTACCTGCAAGTGCCCCTTCACCCAGCTTCAAGACTTCAGGAAGTGTCCCAGCACCTGTGGACCTGGTTTCATGCAGCAGGGTGTCCTGCAAAGTAGCCACTCTAGCTTCCTCATCTTGCCTCAGTCTCACCAGGCAGCTGCGAGCATGCGCACTCAGCCCTTCTCCCAGCCCCAGGCCCCAGGCCCCAGCCTGCCACAGCCTCCCTCCTTTTGACCAGCCCCCAGCTGGGAGACTCCTTAACAAGCAACGAGTTTCCATACATTTCTTAGAGATTTTACTAAAAGTTAAATAAATGTACAGTCCCTCCCCCCCAGCTGGCTATGAGCCACAGAGGTGCTGGGTCTCCCCAGAACCCTTGCTCAATCCCAGGTAGAGGCTGCCCACTGAGGCCTGGGTTCTCCACCGCAGGCCCAGGAGACAAGGTTCTCACAGCTGCTTTGCCCTCCCAGTGACACTCAGGACCTCAGATTCCTCAGGGTGGCTGCCAACTGCGTAGGCCCCAGTCCTCAGCCAGCAGGGCTCCAAGCATCAGTGCGACCACACAGGTGGTCCCTTTGCTGATCTTGCCACTCTCTTCTCCCTCGGTCACCCCAGCTCTGCCGGGTGCTCAGGCCTTGCTGCCTTTGGAGCTCAGTAACCTTCCGTCCCCAACCAGGGAAGGGCCTGCAGGCGCCCCAAGGCCGGATGAGCTGCTGCCCTGGGACCTGGGCTTGACAACTGGTCACAGGAGCAAGGACGGCCCCAAAGTGGTCTTTCAGGTAGTGGCAAGATGCCAGGCCTGCTTCAGAAGGCTTGAGGATCAGGAGCAAATGTCCAGGAAAATGAGAAGTCCTGGGGTCGTGGAGAGGGGATGGCTGGGGTGGGGGCAGCAGGAGGGCACTGAGCCCCAGGCCTGGGAGAAAGCAACCCCTTGGGACATGCCTGGTGCAAGGGTACAAATGGGCACACGTCTCACTCCCTGGGAGGACCTGCAGCAGGGCCGAGTGGCCTGTGGAGGCAGAGGTGACGATGCAGCTGCGTTGACCTAGGGCTGACTCAGGGACTTGCAGAGCTCAGTGAGTCACAGCTCCCAGGTTTGTGCCATGAGAAGGTGGCTGCCCAAGCCCCTTGAGTCCCAGGGCTGTCCTCAGGCCCGCGTTGGGGGCACAGGAGCCCAAGGCTGCCCCTTTCTCTTCCAAGTAACAAGTTTCCACTTCAGCAGACAGGTGGTCCCTCCAGGGTCCCGCCAAGAACAAGCTCTGCTTCCCACTCTCCACAGTCCCCTCTTAGGCAAGTGACAATCTCCTCGGGTTGAGGCTCCTCAGAACCGTACCTTTCCAATGCTGGCAGAGGGAGAGGTGGGGACGGAGGGGAGGCAGCAGCCCTGTGGTAGGCTCAGAAGTGCTCCCGAGGTGGTGACTGCTGCCTTCGTCACCCCCCAGGCAGGCAGTGCAGGCTCCAGGGCCCAGCCCCTGGTAGGAAGTTGCCGAGGTCACTGGGAGGAGGAGGCCATCTGTGTGGAGATGAAGGTCTCAATGACGCCGTGGTTGGATGGCAGCAGGTGGCCGTGGCCGTTGGTGGAGTCGGAGCTCTGATACAGCACCAGGCTGCTGGCGGACACTGCAGGGGCAAGGGAGGCTGCTGGCTGCCGGCCACACCCCGGGCCCACCCCACACCTCCCCCCCAGGCAGGAGGGGCAGGGCCTCCGAGGTTCCAGAAACCCAGTGCCAGGCCTCTACCTGGGGCCACTCAGAACGTGGCCTCCTCAGGACATGTTAGTGGGAACACTACAGAGGTCAGGCGAGATGGCATGGGAGCTGCAGTCAGCTCAGCCAGCTGAACCAGGCTGATTTTGTATCTAGGAAGGCCTTTCGCGGATGTGGCTAAGGTCTAGGGTCAGCTGGCTGCTAAGTGGAGGGGTTGCCCTGAGCGTGTGGGTGGGCCTCTGCTAATCAGCCTCAGACCCGAAGAGCAAAAGCTGGAGTTTACCAAAGAAGAGGTTATTCTGCCCCAAGACCGCAGCATTAACTCCTGAGTGACCAGCCACAGTTACACAAACCAGTTCCCTAAAGTAACTCTCCCCATGTGTAGTGTGCTTCCTGTTGGGACTGTGCCTTGGGGGAACCCTGACGGGTGGATGGGGGTGAGAGAACGGGCTTTGGGGTTGGACCTGGGTTCATGTCCTGGCTCTGCCACCCAGTAGATGAGACAGGTCCGTCACCTCGAGTGTCCACTTCCTCCTCTGTAAAATGAGGATAAGGCGCATGCCCCATGGGGTAGAGCAGGAGCTGGAGCATGGAGTGCCCTTGAGAATGCCTAGCCCTCGGGGCCCGGGGACCTAGGGCCTCCGGGGAGTGCAGCTCCTAAACTCAGGGGTCCTGATGGCCGCCCAGGCCCCAGTGCCCAGCAGCCCGACTCCCAGGCGCCTGCTCCTAACCCCACAGGTTGCAGGCAGGGGCCACCAGGGTCACCAGGGTGTGGCCAGGAGAGGGTGGGGTCAGAGTGGCCAGAAGGCACACCCTGTACTGCGGAGACAGAACATGGACTCCCAGTTCCCCAGGAGAAACCAGAACGCCAGATTCCTCTGTGAAAACTCCAGATTTTTAAATGTTGCCCATTAATTCAAACAATATTAAAAGCTGAGCCAAGCTAAACACATCCGGGTCCCTTCTGGTCCACAGCCCAGGTGGCTCCTCATCCTCTCCAGAGCMGTGTCCTGTCCTTAACTGAGTCAATCCCTAATCCTATAAATTCGGCCCCGTTTCCCTGTGGCCGGGCACACTCCTGGTGCACTCTGGATTCCCAGGCCGTGTTTGGGACACTAGCCCCCCACCTGCCTCTGTGCACACCCCACCCCATGCCCCGACTCAGGGACAGCAGGGCAGGGACGGGACAAGCGCCACTCACCTGTGGGGCTGGCACTGAGCCTGTGGGCAGGCTGCAGGTGCTGGATGCTGGCAGGGTCCTGGCTGGGGATGTGGATGGTGGTGGCTGGAGAGGCTGGCGCGTGAAGCCCAGACTCACTGGAGGCATCAGTGTCCGAGGCGAAGACCTGGGGACCCAGAGTAGTCCCCTGAGCCCTGGTGCATGGAGCCAGAGGCTCTGGGACAGGCCACAGGACTGCCAGACAGGCAGTGCCTTACCTGCTTGGTGGGCGTGAGGCTGGCGAGGGCACTGAGGTTGGTGGTGTCGGTGATGAGCATGGTCTGCGGAAGCAGGCCTGTGTGGGTGTACTGGGCCACCTCGGGCTTGTGGCTGTAGAGAGCTGGTGGGAACAGAGGGAGCAAAAGAGGATACAGACATGGCACCCTGGAGCTCCCCTGGGAGGCCTCAAAACAGGCTCTGGGGGAAGGGGTCATGAGGCCTTGTGAATGCCGAGCCCCTGGCAGGAGGGGGCCCTCTTCTTTACCCAGACCTGCTCAGCTGGAATTGATGGGGAGGAACCTGGGGAAGGCCAGCCACCAATTCCAGTCCCTCATACCACCTGGAGACCACAGGCATGAAAGGGAAGGGACGATGCAGGTGCAGTTGTACTAAGCACAAGCACCATGGTACTAAGCACAGGTGTTGTTGTATAAGTGCAGGCCTCAGAAGAGAAGGCAGGTGGCCCCATCCAGGTGAGCAGGGCAGAGGACAGTAATGCCTCCATCTGCAGGACACCTCTCCAACACCCAGTGTGTCCCCTCAGCACCCCCAAGACGCACACAGACACTTCTCAGGGACTCAGATGAAGCCTGACATCACAGGCACACAAAGATGTACACTTTGAACTCTGTGTGCACGCACACACGCACAGGGATCTACGTCCCTTATCCCAATCCCTCATTCCAAAGAGGTCTGCAGCCCAGGGGTTCCCATGGTGTGGCCCCAGAGCTCATTTGATGGCAACCCCCACACACAAAACCCAGCTACCAGTTACGTGAATCTCCAACCTGCTTCATGGGACTGCTGCAGAGACCCCCTTGATGACGGAATGGGAACAGTGTGTGACACGTGGCATTTCCACCTAGCTACCCTTCTAAAGTCACAACCAGCAGACTCCAGGCTTCCAGAGAAAGGGCTGTGGCCTGGGCCACCTGCCCCCCCCCCCCCGGGGACGCACAGCCTTTAAACATAGAGCACACTGAAATGCAGCCTCCAGCTGCACATGTGCACTCGCCCGTGAGTGTTCACGCGTGGAGACATAAGGTGACCCGCAGCTGCCCTGTCCCCAAAGCGTTCGCGCCCACACCAGACACGGCACGTGCCACGCTGCTGCTTCCCTTGCCCCCCAGCACGGCCAACCTGCCCCAGGCCAGGGCAAGGGCTCTCACCGTGAGGACCCTGCAGTTGGGCCATGGTGGCCATGAAGGGACTCTGGGCCACGTGGCTCTGCACGGGTGACATGAGAGGCTGCTGGTAGGAAGGGTGCAGCGGCTGCGAGAACTGGACCGGCTGCAGGGTGGTCAGGCTGCTGCCCATGCTGTTGATGACCGGCACGCTCTGTGCCTGAGTGGAGGCCAGGCCTGGGGCAAGAGGGTGGAGTCAGCTGAGCCACCACCCCAAAGTCCCCTGACTCTGCCCAGATCCCCAGAGGCACCATGCCCCTTCCCAGAGCCCCRGATGAAAAGAGGGGAGGGTGGGGCAGTCAGGAAGCAGCTTGCACTAGACCACCAGGAACTTACATGACCCTGGCGAGTCCCCCTCTCTGAGCCTTTAGCTCCCGTGAGCTGATGGAGAGGAGGGCGACGACCCTTTCCCTGGTTGTCAGACTGGGTGTCCTGGAACCCCGGTGTTCCCCAACAGAGCAGCGCTCCTGGGCTCAGCTCCTGCTGCCCCCTCCCAGCAGCCCCTCTCTGTCTTGTTGTGTATTTGCATACTAATTTCTGCCAATGAAGGCTTTCTGGGTTTAAAAAAAATAGGAAGTATCCATGCCCCCCTCACCCTGCGCTATTTCCCCACCTTTTTATCTGAGGTACTATATGATTTCGTGTTGTGCTCATTGCCTTCCACACTGGGCTTTCTGAGATTTGGGTTGATTTGGTTCCTTTGTGCACTCAGAAAATGCATGTTGCACTGGGCGCTGTGGCGCACACCTGTCATCTCAGTAGCTTGGGAGGCTGAGGCAGGAGGATCGTGAGTTCAAGGCCAGCCACAGCAACTTAGCACAGCCCTAAGCACCTCAGCAAGACCCTGTCTCTAAATAAAATATAAAAAGGGCTGGGGATGTGGCTCTGTGGTTCAGCGCCCCTGGGTTCAATCCCCAAAAACAGAAAGACAAGAAAAGACAGTGTGTGTTGTAGGTGGGAACAAATGAATGAATGACCCCTTAGATTCCGCAGGGGACTTACAGCAGCCGCCCAGGTGCCCGCCCAGGTGCCCGCCCTCCCACCAGCTTACCAATGACCAGGGTGGAGGCGCCTGTGTTGGTGAACGTGGAGCCCAGGGAGGCAGGCTCCCCGGGCCCAATGGTCATGACCCCAGGGAGCGAGGCCATGATGAGGTTCTGGGGCTGCTGGTTGAGGCCCTGCGACGTCTGCTCCAAGCTGTGCAGCGCTGTCAGCGTGCTGACAGGGGGCAGGGGGCCCCCAGTGGCTGAGACCTGCCAAGGAGAGTCAAGCCGAGTCAGGGTGGGGCCCAAACAGCCTCCCAGAGGACCACCCCGGTCTCCCAGCCAAAGGAAGGTGGGGTTGGAAAGGTTTCCGCCACAGGTCAGGACACTCACCAGCTTGGCTTCAGTGCTCAGCAGGCTGTGGCTGGGCTCCAGGCCTGTGGGGGACACTTGGTGCAAAGGGGTGGACACTGTCACTAGGGGACCACCGCTGCTCGAGGGCACCTCGGCTGCCTCACTGGTTGCAGGCTGTCCATAGCGCACGCCTGGAGTGGGGACAGTGTCCAGCCTCAGCACCCTCCCTGTCCCCTTCTGCCTCACAGACCTCGTCACTCCATGGCTTGGCTCAGGTCAGCTGACCCATCTTTCCTCCTGCAGCTGCAAACTGCTGAGCGTCACCTGGGGCCAGGCCCCGGCCTGTGCTTGCAGCTTCATGTCGCCCGCTGCCTAGTTCTATCCCTGGCATGCAGTAGGTGCTCAATAAAAGAGAATGGACCTGAGCTGAATTGGAGCTAGTGGCGGTAAACTGAAGGGAACTGAATGGAATGAACTGGAACTGGCTGAATTAAATTGTATCTAGTTGAGCTGATCGAAAATGAGCTGAGCTTGATTAAGTGAATGAAGCCAAACTGAATTGGATTACGTTGAATTAAGCAAATGTTTTTTTTTAAAGAGAGAGAGAATTTTAATATTTATTTTTTAGTTTTCGGCGGACACAACATCTTTGTTGGTATGTGGTGCTGAAGATCGAACCCGGGCCACACGCACGCCAGGCGAGCGCGCTACCGCTTGAGCCACATCCCCAGCCCTGAATTAAGCAAATTTAAAATTAAAGCGAATCGCCTTGAACTTCAACTAGTTAAACTGAGTGGATTGAGTGGGAAATGGTTGAGCGAGGCCAACCTTAAGTGAGCTAAACTGTCCTGAACACAATTGAAGGGAACCGAATTGGATTCAGTGGCACTAACAGGGTTTGAGTCAATGGATCTGAGGTGACCGTGGTCCACTGAGGTGACCCCAGTCAGGTTCAGTGGAATTGAAGAGTGAGGTGGAGTGGTCAGCTCTGATGGAGCGGGACAATGACTGGACGCGGATGGAGAGGACAGGGGAGGGTGGGAGAGGACAGGGGAGGGTGGGATGGGCTGGGCGAGTCCATGGAGTACGTGTGGGGGAGGGAGCAGGATGGGCTTATAAAGTGGAACCGACAAGTGCTCAGAGGTTTGGGTGTCTACTGCCACTGGGGCAGCCCACCCACTTGCCCCTTTACCCGCTGTCCCAATCTACCCCCCAGATAGCACTCACCGTGGACCTTACTGGGGGAGAGGGCGGGTGGGGGCAGGCCAGGGGAGCTGTGGGCAGGCAGCGCGGGTCCTGGGCCTGGCCCCGATGGGGGCCCACTGTACGTGTCCATGGCCAGCTTGTGCCGAAAGGCTTCTTCTTTGCGCCGGTTGGCAAACCAATTGTAGACACGCACCTCCGTGACAAGGTTGGAACCCAGCCCCTGTGCCTGCGAYGGTGACACTCCCCTCTGGATGCACTCCGCCCTGCAGAAATGGCCACCCCTGAGCCTCCAGGCTGGGCACAGAGGAGCCCTCTCCTGGGGAAGGTCCTGAGAAGTTTGAGCTCCACCTGAGTATTGGGGGCTGGCAGATCTGGATTCTAATACCAGTTCTGCTGTGTGACTTTGGGCAAGTGACTTAGCCTCTCTGACCTCAGTTATCATACGAGCAAAACAGCCATGGGGTTGTAGAGAGGTTGGAATGAGGTGAATATTCACCCAAAGGGTTGCTTGGTGGGTGGAGGACACTAGGAATAGAATGAGGTTCAAGACACTGAGCAGCTGTTGAGTCCTCACAACTCTTTGGGCCAAGCCACATTCATTGACAGCAGGAGCTCTCAAGAACTGGGGAGCCCTCCTCAGATCCAGAGTTACCTTCCTGGCCTTGCCCAGCCCCACCCCCACCGCCACTCCACCTGTTGCACTCCTCCACCAAGGTCTCTCGCTCCTCCTTGCTGGGGTTCTTTTGCCTCTCATAGGCCTGGAACAGGATCTGCTGGGATGCTGGGCCCCACTTGAAACGGTTCCTCCGCCCCTTCTTGGTTGGCAGCTCGTCACCTGTGGGCTCCTCAATCAGCCCACCCTGCCCTGCATGGGTGAACTCTGCAGGCCCAGAAAGACATGAGCAGGGCATCAGCTCACCTGACCATCCCCCCCCCCATTCTCTCATTGTCAGGGGGCTGAACCAGAGGAGCTTATATCCAGAACTCAGCTCGTCCCATCTAATCAGCTAATCCAATAATAACAAGCATAGCACACTCCCCCTTTCTTAACCCGTGTCCCAGGCAGACATCACTAATCAACCCCTGCACACTTTTCGACTGAGCCAAGATGTCATCTCCCAATCCTCAGTACAAGGCTCTGGGTAAGCGTTAGCATTGTTCAGATTTGGCACATTTACTATCCCCATTTTATAGGCGAGGGAAGTGAGGTTTAGGGAGGTTATCTAATTTTCCAAGGCCACACAAGAAAGCAGAAACTTGCACCTTGTCCCCTGAGCAGATTCAGAGCTCATGTCACCTCTCCAGACCTGGAAATTAAGCTTACAATGCAATGTTGGCCAGGAAAAATTAAATGATCAGGATAAACATAGGAGAACTCTCCATGACCTTGAGTTAAACAAAGACTTCATAAACAGGACACAAAAACTAACTATAAGCTTAAAAACGAAGAACTTTTGCTGATCAAATGACATCCAATTTAGAGTATAAGGCAAACCACAGAGCAGGAGATTATATTTACAGTACTTAATTTTTTTAAGGCCTTATAATCAGAGTGTATTTTAAGAAACTCTTATAAAACCATCAGTAGAAAAAACAGATAATCCAAGAGAAAAAAAAAAAAAGCAACCTCTTGAGCAGGTGTTTTGTTTTGTTTTGTTTGTACCAGAGATTGAACTCAGAGGTGCTTAACCAGTGAGCCACATCCCTGCCCTTTTTTAAAAATATTTTTTTAGGGCTGGGGATGTGGCGGTAACGTGCTCTCCTGGCATGCACGGGGCACTCAATCCTCAGCACCACATAAAAAAAAATAAAATAAAGATGTTGTGTCTGCCAAAAACTGAAAAATAAATATTAAAAAATTCTCTCTCTCTTAAAAAATATTTTTTAGTTGTAAATAGACACAATACCTTTATTTATCTTTATGTGGTGCTGATAATTGAACCCAGTGCCTCACATGTGCTAGGCAAGTGCTCTACCACTGAGCCACAACCCCAGCCCTTTTTACTTTTTATTTAGAGATAGGGTCTCACTGAGTTGCTTAGGGCTTCACTAAATTGCTGAATCTGGTCTTGAACTTGGGATCCTCCTGCCTCAGCCTCCTGAGTTGCTGGGATGACAGGAGTGCAGCTGGCTACATTAGGATCTATCAAAGATTCCAAAGTACCTACTCTGGCCCAGCATTCCACTCTAGGAATTCTTCCTACAGACAGACTCGCACGGGAGCATGAACATGTATAAATAGGATGTTCTTAGCAGCAGGTGATTGCAATAGCAGATTGGAAAAACCCTATAAGCCCTTATAGGTACCTTCAAATAATAGCCAGTAGCCCTTAAAAAGAATGAGATCAGGCGGGGCCCAGTGGCACACACCTGTAATCCCAGTGGCTTAGGGGACTGAGGCAAGGCAGGAGGGCTTCCAGTTCACAGCCAGCCTCAGCAACTTAGCAAGACCCTGTCTCTAAATAAAAAATATAGAAAGGCTGGGATGTGGCTCAGGAGTTAAGCACCCTGGGATTCAATCCCTGGTACCAAAAAAAAAAAAAAAAAAAGAGAGAGAGAGAAAGAGAGAGAGCGAGTGAGAGTGCGGGCATGCAATCAATCTCTCAATGCTGATATAAGAAGATATATAGGATTGATTTTATTGGCCTGGGTTGTAGCTCAGTAGTAGAGCGCTTGCCTCGAATGCATGAAGCCCTGGGTTTGATCCTCAGCTCATAAATAAAGATATTGTGTCCATCTGCAACTATAAAAAATATTTTTTAAAAAGAAGATGTACAGGCTTAATTTTATTGCTGAGAGAAAAAAGCAATGTGCCAAAACTGTGTGTAATATGTCCCCATTGACTGGAAAGAAACATCTAAAGCTAGTATATGCATAAAATATCTCTGAAAGGGTACACAGGACCCTGGGAATGCCAATGGCTGCTTTAGGGGAAGGACACCTAATTTTTATCATTTTTTAAAACCAAATACATATTGCCTTTTTTAAGACCTGGAAAATGAATAAAAGAAAGGTCAAAATTTTACATATAAATGGAAGCCTAAGAGCGTGCAAATGCACTGGGAACTTGGGGGGAGGGAAGCCTTAATAAGGAGACTCACCATTCCCAGGGTGTACCCGGGTCTTCCCAGTTTATCAGTGGAGTGTACCCCCTTGCCTCTGAGCCTTTGCTGGTGCCATTCCTCTGCTTGAAACACCCTTCCCTGCATCTCCAAAGGTTAAAATTCAACTCACACTGAGGACCTTATCTAAAGGTCATGCTTTCAGTGTGAACCTTCCTGATACCTCTGCCACCCCGAGGTAGAATAGATTAATCTCCCCCCTCCACAGTCAACTCACTACTCTGAAATACTGACTACTCTACCCTGGGCCTGGCACAAAGTAAGTGCTCAATAAATACTAGACCTCATGGTTGTTTTTGTTGCCACATTATAATGTCTCACTGTAACCTAACAGTCTCCACCCCCTTCCCACTAAACAGTGAGTTCGTGGAAGGCAGGAGGGGTCCAGTCCATCCATCTTTGGATGCCCTGGACCAACCCTGCACCCTCCCCCAGAGTGCCTTAATAAATGTGGGTTGAGTCCCGCTGGCTCCTGTCTCCCTGTCTGTGTAATGGGGCAGGGAAGCTCCCAGCCCCGCCCTAGGTGGGGTCAAGGCCCAGGCCGAGCCCGGGGACCTGCTGGGGTGGTTACTTACGCTGCGCCACCTCTCGCTGCTTGCGGACGTACCAGGTGTACAGGGCCGCGCGCTTCTGCGTCTTCATGGGGGTGCCCTTGTTGAGGTGCTGCGACAGGTGGGACTGGTTGAGGCCCGTGGTGTCCACCACCTCCCGCTGCGGGATATTGTGCTGCTGCAGGTAGGACTTGACCATCTTCGCCACGCGCCATGGGTCCTCCCTGGGAGAGAGCGAGGACGGGGTCAGCCCTCTGGGCTGCCGGGTGACCCCTGCCAACCAGCGGGTGAGGTGGGGCCCGGGCACCCGAGACCCCCTCTGCCCCCGGGTGGGGATGGTGGAGGAAGGTGGATACGGAGCCCAGGGGCTGCACCCGGCAGGAATGGGGAGGTGCGGTCACCCTAGGACACAGGCCTGAGGACACACAGACAGATGGACACACAGATGTAGGCCTGAACAGACTCCCACGGATTCCTCCCCTCATCCTCATCCTCTCTGAGAATTTTTTTTTTTTTTTTTGTGCTCAGGATTGAACCCAGGGGTGCTTAACCCCTGAACCACACCCCCAGCCCATTTTTATATTTTATTTAGAGACAGGATCTCACTGAGTTGCTTAGGGCCTTGCTAAGTCACTGAGGCTGGCTTTGAAATCCCGATCCTCCTGCCTCAGCCTCCCAAGCCGCTGGGATGGCAAGCGTGCACCTGGCCTGGCCCTGGGAATGTTAAATGTGTGTTATCCACCTGGAGAAACTGTAAGCACCTCGAGGGCAGGAACTGTCCTCTCAGCACCAAAATGGGCCTGACTTAGAATATGCCATTGATGTGGGAACATGGGAACAAGTGGTTGGATGGGAGGGTGCGTGGGTAGATAGATGGATGGACAGACAGGGGCAAGGAAGGGCAGGCGGAAGGGCTGATGGAATGATGCGTGGGCAGATGGACAGAGGATGGATGGGTATGGAGGATACCCACTGGGGACAAAAAGCAGAAATGCGGATCGTTCTGGCTTACAGCCAGGATCACTGAGATTCAGAGAGCCAGAATTACTTTTGTCTCTTGCCCAAGGTCACAAGGCTGGCCTAGAGGGTCCCATCCTAACTGAAGGGATTCAGTTCTAAGTCAGCCCATCAGGCAAAATCACAGGGTCAAAATGCCCGAAATCTGCCCTCAGCCCTTGGCAGCAGCCTAGCCAGTCTCTCCACGGCACCAGCAGAGGCCCAGGTGAACCCAGGCTGCAGGTTGCATTCAGAACCCTCATTACAACAAAATTGTTTTTTTCATCCAGACTCAGTAGTGCACTCTGAATCCCAGTGACTTAGGAGGCTGAGGCAGGAGGATCACAAGTTTGAGGCCAGCCTCGGAAACTTAGCAAGACCCTTTCTCAGAAAGGAGGGGAGGAGGCTGGAGATGTCACTCAGTGGTAGAGCCCTCCTGCATTCAATCCCCAGTACCACCAATAACAACAACACCTGTGTTTTTCTGGGCACAGTAAAGCAGCCTGTCATTCTAGCAGGAGGATCACAAGTTCGAGTCCAGCCTGAGCAACATCACAAGACCCTACCTCAAAACAAAAAATAAAAAGGGCTTGGGATGTAGCTCARGAGTAGATTGCTTGCCTAGCATGTGCGAGGCTCCAGGTTGGATTCCCAGCACCAAAACCAAAATAAAACTGAGTTCTGGAATCCCACTCTGAGGACCGAAGCTCTCCAGGAGAGTGACTCAAGGGGCCTGAGGTCACCTGTGATCCATGTCTCTATCCTCTGCTCACTGTGAGTCTCCCTGTGAGGAAAGAAGGGATCACACTCCCATACCGTATCAATTCTCTCTTCTCTTGCTCTGCCCCAAGCCCCCACCCCTCGCTTGCAGTACAAACTGAAATGCGGATCAGGACGTCGGCGCTGGAACAGGCGGAACCGAGATTCGAACCCACATCTGCGTGATTCCAAAGCCACCCGTTCTCCCCTCCCGGCTTGACTCAGCAATCTGCTTCTAGAATCTGAGGCTTCCACTGTTTGCACACATGGCACATGGCGCTCATAGAAGGCAACTCTTGCTGCATTGCTTGCCCCGGCAGAAGACCCCAAGCAAGCAACCAATCCAGCAAAAGGAGGCTGCGTCCTGATTGCGCCCTGGGAGCCCCCTGCAGAAGCCCTGTGCGCAGCCGCCCGGGGCAGTTGGGGACATCCGCTCTGCTTTATTTGTGTAAAATTTGTTTTTTTTCCCATTTGTGTAAAATGTAAAGGGCGGTGAAACAGGCTTTCTCCATGTTCGACTGTGCACATGTGAAATACCAGAAAGGCGTGCCAGGACCCGGAGATGCAGGTGACCCTCAGGGGGCGGGGCTGGGGACAGGGTGAGAGGGACGGTTTTCTCTGTAGCTCTTCTGTACTTTTAAAATTGCAATTTTGAATCATATTCTATAATTCATACAGTCCCTCAGTAAGGGGGATCACTGCCAGGTCCCCCTTGGACATCAAAATCCACGGATGCTCACGTCCCTTGTATAAAATGCCATGGTATTTGCAGAGAACCTGCCACACTCACCTGCATACTCTGAGCCATCTCCAGATTCCTTATAATACCTAATACAACGTCAGTGCCGTAGAACTAATTATTTCACTGTGTTGTTTAGGGAATCCAGACAAGAAAATTCTCTGTGTTCCAAACGGACACATTTTTTTTCCTGAGTATTTTCAATTCACAGTTGGTTGAATCTGCAGACTTAGCAGCCAAGGATTCAGAACCTGCAGATACAGGGCTCCACTGTACAGACCATTTTAAATGAAACTGCAAATTGAAATCAACCCCCTAGATTCGGAAGCCACCCCACGGCCTTCTCTCCCTCCAAGAAGCAGCGGTTGCCTGGCTCCCTCAGGAGGCAGTGCCCTCCACAGGGATCAGGGACCCCAGCCTTTGTCACTTGGACCCTCTAACTTCCTCCTCCTTATCAGCAGTTCTCTGACGGCAGGGCAGGGAGGAAAGGAAGGTGGGGACAGGTAAGTCTAAACTGGTCAGCGTAGTACTGCGAAGTCCCACTTGCGTAAAAAATGACAATGATGAGAATTAATGACCCTGGATTATTTGCCACGAGCCCAGCACTGTCCTGCGGGTGACCATTTAATCTCACAATAACCCAGGAAGCAGGCTCCACTGGGACGCCCACTCCCCTGGTGAGGAACCGAGGCTCAGGAAGGTGAGGCTGCTGTCAAGGTGACCTAACTGGGGTACAAGAATATTTTGTGTTGTTGGGGCCTGCCCGCCYCTCCCTGGCTTCTCGCTCTGTGATCAGGGGCTCCTGGGAGCCTCTGCCACCTCCCCCTTCCCTGGGTGCCACTCAGAGCTAGGAGGGAAGGGCAGTACAAAGTCCAGCCTTGTGCTGCGGGCAAACATGTTTATCTGATGGCCTCCCGCCCCTGCCCCTGGTGGCAGCCACCGCCCCCTGCTCCCTGCTCCTCCCTCCCCTTTCTCTCCTCCCTGGAGAACGGGGTCAGTCCTCTCCCCAGGGCCTCTCCTGGGCTCAGATTGAAAATCTATGCAGCTGTCCCTCTGACCCATGCCTCTCTCTGCCTCTCTCTCTCTCTCTCTCTCTCTCTCTCTCTCTCTCTCTCCTGCACACCAGATCAAATAAAATAAAGTCCAGCCACTTTCCACAAACACAGGACAGTTACCTGGATGGGGAAAATGACAAGCAGAAGTGTTAAACTCAGTTAATAGGATCTTTCTTTCTTTCGTTCTTTCTTCTTTTTTTCTTTTTTTTTTTTTTTTTTGGTACCAGGGATTGAACCCAGGGTCACTTTACCACTGAGCCCCATCCCCAGCCCTTTTTATATTTTATTTAGAGACAAAGTCCCACTGAGTTGCTTAGGGCCTCACTAAATTGCTGAGGCTCTCAGAATTTGAGATCCTCCTGCCTCAGCCTCCCGAGACACTGGGATTACAGGCCTGTGCCACCACACCTGGCAGAACTTTCCATTTTTAAACAATTCCTGGGACTGGGGTTGTGGCTTAGCAGTGGAGCACTTGCCTAGCACGTGTGAGGCACTGGGTTCAATCCTCAGTACCACATTAAAAAAAAATAAACAAAATAGAGGTATAATGATAAAGAACAACACCTAGTAAAGTTAGACAACAAATGCACATCCAAAAAAAAAAAGTGAATTTAAAATGCCAATCAGGCCAGGCCTCGTGATTCGCACCTAAAATCCCAGCAACTAGATCGGCTGAGGCAGGAGGATCTGCAAGTTTGAGGCCAGCCTCAGCAATCTAGCAAAATGATGTCTCAAAATTAAAAGAAAAAAATTTAAAAGGCTGGGAATGTAACTACTCATAGATAAAGCCCTGGGTTCACACCTCAGTACCAAAGGATAAAAATAAAACAGTCAGTCTGCAAACAAAAGCTAAGAGGGCCTCCCTTTCCCTTTTCTGGGGAAAGTTGCCCGTGCTCCTTTTTTCTAGAACCTACTGAGTTGGTCTCTGTCTCTCGGTGGCTCCCTCTCTTCCACTCACACACCCCCTTGGTCTCCAAGGACCTGACCCTTCCCAGGACAGCTTCCCCAGCTCAGAACTAAGAGACCAAGGCCCCAGGTGCCTCCTGCTTTGACCCCAGTGGGTTTGAGAGTCGCACCCAGCCGGGTTCAGGTCCCGCAGCTGTGTGAGCTCGCCTGCCCTCACTGCTCCGAAACACGGGTGATCCATGCCCCCCACACCTGTCAGGAGCGTTCAGGGAGGGTTTGGGGCAAGGCCTGGCCCTCAGGAGGGGCTCAGGAAGGGTAGGATACTGTGATGCTGGTCCTCGCCCTCACATCCCCGTCCACCATGTGGTCCTTCAGACCCGGCCTCTCYGCAGAGCCCAGGAAGCCCAAGGATCTGCCTACCTCCTCCTACTCTCGCCTTCTGCCCACCCTGGGGTCAACCGGGCAGCCAAGACTTTGGGCCTTTTGTCCTCTGGTCCCCAAGGTCATGGAATGGGGGATACTGGCCTGAAGGGCTGCTCCCCTAGAAGAGAAGCTGAATTCCCCCATCTCTGGTCTTAGATCTGAGTCCGAATTCCGACTCTTCTGCCCAGGATCAGAATGCCTTGGGAGGGAGCCCGGCCTTAGTTTTCCCGTCTGTGAACCCTGGCTAGAAATGTCTCATCTCTCAGAGATCCTCAGGAGGGAGAAATGAGTCCCGTGCATTTGGAAGCCTGGGGGGCCTCAGAGTTTAATGGGCACAGGGCTCCACACTAGTGGGCATAGGATGCCRCAGGCCCAGTCCTGGCCTCAGTACTTGGAAGTGTTACCTTGGGTGAGTCCTTTGCCTCTCTGAACCTTAATTGGCTTGTCTGTAAAATGGGGTGACCTGAAACAGGAGGGTCAGCTACCGGTCCCTGCAAGTCCTCCATGTACAGTTCTGCGGGCACCATGCCATTCAATCCTGGGTGGGAGAGTGATTTTCATCTCCACTTTGCAGAGGAAACTGAGGCTTAGAAAACTGAAACCAGCCGCTGAGATGGAACAGAACGGGGATGAGGGCCAGGCAGGCTGGCCCAGTCAGGTCCTTTGTCCCACCTCAGCCACTGTCTTCCTAGCTGCTTGACGGGGAGGAGCACAGAGCTCCAGCTTTGGGGTTTGAGCTGTTCAGGACCAGAGGGGGGCTGCAAGGATGTGCAGGATGGAACCCTGGACCCCCCTTAGCTAGGTGCTCTCAGGGCCTCGGAGACTAGCCCCTCATTCCCACAGGTCTCAGGTCAGCCCTGGGCTGCTGCTGGGAGGGGTGAGTGGTGGTGAAGGAGACCTCGCAGGCCTTGGGATTGAAGAATTCCCTATTTTCATGGCAGGTGATAGAAAACAAATATTATGATCATAATAACTAAATGAAAAGGGAAGGTGAAAGTGGTGAAGGAGAGAGATGGGGGTGAGGCTCACCTAGGAAGGGGGCAACCAGGGAGCTGAAAGCCGGGAAGATCAGGAAAAGAGGTCCTGAGCAGCAGGGACAGCATGTGCAAAGGCCCGGAGGTTGAATCAACTTGTGTGTTGAGGGGCGGCAAAGTCAGCATAAGGGGAGCAAGATGAGAAAGAGTGAGGCCAGGGAAGGTGGTCAGCTGGCAGCGGGGTGGGGGAACCAGGGAATTGACGTTACTTTTATTTTGTACATAAGGAAACTGAGGTAGAAGAAGGGGAGGGACTTCCCAAAGGTCACACAGTGGACTAAGGGTGGAGACCTGAGGGAAGAACTCAGGTTCCTGCTGTGGCCTCAAACATGGGACCCTCCCTGCCTCTTCCCAGGTACCCCCTGCTCCACACAAAGATCTCCAGCTGCAGGGCCTGCCTCTGTAGTCTCCCCAGCCTCAGCCTCTCTGCTGCCCAGGCCTCCATCAGGGGTCCCCCACCTCTCTCCCTGGGGTCCTCTCCCCTGCCCTGAGGCTGAAGGCCCCCCTTTTATCCCTGGGGCGTTTCAGATCCCTTTTGTTACCTGAACAATAAGTAACCCGGGTAGTTAGTTATAAACTCTGCAGGAACGAGGAGCTGGTTGATAATTTATAGCAACATCTCAAATTTAAATGGAAAGTAAATAGCATGCTGTTAGCATTAAAGAAAACCCAATCGGGGCAGGAGGGAGGCACTCGGGCCTCCTCCCAGCTTGGGGTGCCTTGCTCTCTCCCCTGCCCCTTCTCCCAGCTGGGCCTGAACCCCTCTCCCCTCCTGGCTCCTCTGCCCTCTCTCTCGGCCTCCCCGACAGCCTCTCCTTTCCTCCCTGCTGTCCCTCTTTCCCCCAGCTTCCAGATCTCTGCTGGTCCCCAAGGACACTTTGACCTCTGCTCCCCCCAAATGCTGTGGAACCAGCCTCCCCCGCCCCACCACCCCACCACAGGGGCTGCTGATCCCGAGGCCCCCCAGAGCCAGGTAAGAGAGACCCTTGGCGCCCCTTGCCCCAGCCCTCACCCCAAAGCCCCCCAGTTCCACCTGGGACCCTGAGCAGGTCAGGCCCAGCCCCACCCTGTCCAGGTGGCCCTCGCCCTGGGTCTGGCCTTGCCTGGCTCTTTGCCCCTCCCCTGCAGAGCCGCAGCCTTTGCCCTCCTCTTCCTGCCAAGTCGGGGGCCTGGCTGCTCCCCTGCCCCCTGCCAAGGGCCCCACGAGGCTCCCTGAGCCTCTGAGAAGGTCCCTCCACCAGCCTCCCCCACCCAAGGAGGGATCAGCACCTTGGACAGAAAAGATGGTCCCCCGCAGAGCACTCTGGAGCCCTCCCTCAAATCCTCAGCCACCCCCCGCTGGGCCCTGGCTCCTGCCAGAGCGCCTTCCTGCTCTGTGCCTCAGTTTCCTCATCTGTGAGGCAGAGTCCTCAACTACTTCCTCCCCGGGCTCAGCTCCACATTATGGAAATCACACACAGGGCCCTCGGCAGGCAGACGGGCTGCAGGAACAGTGGCCGTCAGGGGGGGGCCTAGGGAGCTTGGGGTCTGGTGGTCCCGTAGCCCCCAGGTTGCTCTCCCCCAACCCTGTGCCCCCCATTCTCCCATTCTCCACCCCACGGCGGGGTTGGGGGTGGCTCCTGCCTCTGCGGGCCACGATCCTACAAGTTAATGATCACAGCCCTTATCAGAGCCTTTTGCTGTTTATAAATTTATAAAACAAAAGAGAAATAATAAAGCGAGTGGGTAATTAGTAACCAGGGCAGCCCGGCTGGGGAGAGGGGAGGCATCGCCAGGGACCCACCCAGTTCTCCAGGAGTGGGGAGCAGGCCAGGGATGGGGGTGCAGGACAGTACTGGGGGGCTTCCATATGCAGCCTGCTGGGGACCTGTGGCGCTGCAGGAAAGGTAAGAGTTCCCACCTCGAAGTCCCCTCTGCCTCGGCTAAGAAAGACCTGGGCTTTCCCCGTGGGGGGCCAGGGAAGCTCCCCAAAACCCCAGTCTCAGCCCTGCCTCCCAGAGGTGCTTTCTGCCCCYGGGGCCTACCATCTGAGCACTTCTTGGGGGGTACGAAGGGCCACATGGCTAAGGATTCCCACCCCCTCTGTTCTCCAGGACTCGGGGGTCCCTGTCCCAGAGCTTCCCCAGGGCTTGTCCCCGCTTCCCGAGGACACAGCTGAAGACCGTGGCTCTTGGTGTCTGGAGGCTCCAACCTCCGAACAGGGACCCCCAAGCACTGGCCTGGGCCCTGTCCCCCTCCCCGACGGCTAAGCTGAAGGCCACGGCTCAGGAGGACTCTGGACCTGGCAGAGGGGCTGGTCAGAGCGGAGGGTGGCCCTGGGGGCTCCTTCCTGGCAGCTGGGGACGGGGAGGGGTCCTTACTGCAGAAGGGTCTCCACCACGGCCTTCTGGTGGGCCGCCTCCTCGGGGCTCAGGTTCTCCAGCTCTTTGAGGATGGGCGGCGTGAAGTCGTCCCCGTCGTCATCCGTGTCGTCCTCGGAGCCCCGCGTCTCCCCCAGCCCGTTGGGCAGCTCAGCCAGCTCCCCTCGACCGGCGCCGCAGGCCTCCCCCTTGTCCAGGGGACCCTCTCCAGGCAGCAGGTAGGGCCCCGGCTCCCCCAGGGCCTGGATCAGCGCCTCCTTGCTCAGGCCCGACTCGAGCAGCGCGGCCAGGAGCTCGGTCTGCAGCTGGCTCAGCTTGGCCACCATGGCTCCGCAGAGGGCCACGCGGCCGGGCCACCAGCTGCCACCTCCCCCCGCCCGAGGGCCTCCACTGGCCCGGCCGGCAGCCACCAGCCAGGCTCCTGCACCGCTGCCCCCCCAAACCCACGAGCCAAGCCCAGTGGGCACCCCCAGCCCCCAACCCTGGCCCCAGCGGCCGGTGAATCAGGCCCCTGGCTGCTGTTTACATTGGAGCTGGGGAAATTCTCCAAGGTTCATATTTATCCGTGTGCTTAGCGCGGGGACTGAACTTTGGACTTCAGCCCTGCAGAGTGCAGGCCTCAGGGCCGCAGAGGGCCCGAGSGCGGCCTTCAGTGGGAGTGGGCAGGGGAGGGTGGGGAGGCGGAGGGGGGACCGTGGCAGCTTGACAGAAGGTGCTGGGAGCCAGGGGGCAGCATTGGGGCCCACCCCCAGGGCCTTGCAGGAAATCAGGCTAAGGCAGAAGGACTCAGAAAGTCCATTTCTTTGGGGGAATAGAAGCCACAGGAAGTTTTAGGCCACTGGGCCAGCTGTCAAGGACAGAGCTAGGTCCTGTTCATTTGGGGACCCTCTCACACTACACCAGGCCTGTGCTCAGGGATGGTGCTGGGTCTGTAACGTGTGCCTTTACTTCACCGTGAGTGGGTGCAGGGATTGTCTCCATTGTATAGAGGAGGAAATCTAGGCTCTGGGAGGTGAAGCAACGTGGCCAAAGTCACACAGGAAGGGATGAGACCTGTGGGATGGGACTAGGTGGACAGGAGCCGGGTACTTGCCTCAGTACAAATTTTCAGGGGCACCCACAAACTTAGTAATCAAGATTTTATGCAATGGATTTTAAAAATTAAAATCAAGGCAAACCCCTAAAAGCACGTGTCCATACAAAAATTCTCACGTTTGAGTCCTGGGGCTGGAGCTCAGTGGAGAGCGTTTTTCTGGCAGGCATGAGGCCCTGCCTCAGATCCCCAGTCCCACCAAAACAAACCAAAAAAGTCACGGATATTCCCAGCACCATTATTCATAGTAGCCAAAAAATGGAGAGAAAACATAAATATCCAGCTGGGTGTAGTGGCGCATGCCTGCAATCCCAGCAGCTCAGGAAGCTGAGGCAGAAGGATCGAGAGTTCAAATCCAGCCTCAGCAAAAGTGAGGCCCTAAGCAACTCAGTGAGACCCTGTCTCTAAATAAAATACAAAATAGGGCTAGGGCTGGGGATGGGGCTCAGTGTCTAGTGCCCCTGAGTTCAATCCCCAGGACCCCCCCCCCCAAAAAAAACAACATTACTACCATCAACATATGAATTAACAAAGTGCAAAATGTACAACATACAATAGTATATCATTCTGTCATAATAAGGAATGACGTTTTGACCCATGACACTGCCTGTATGGACCTTGCAGACATGCTAAGTGAAGAAGCTGGTCACAGCAGGCCTCGTTCCATTTCCAGAGATTTCCAGAACAGGAGACCCACGGAGAGAGAAGGTAGACCCATGTGGTTCCCGCAGCTGGGGCTGGGGTCACCAGAACCTGCTTTGTCGGTGGGAACCACCCTGAGCCCCTGGACACTCCGGAGAGGCAGGTGGTGCTGAGGGGCTTCCTGCCAAGCTGGGTGGTGTCCAGAGGTACCTTTCAGGGTTCTGGGGAGCCAGGGGGTGCTTGGCCATGGAAGGAAGGAAAAGGAGCCATGGCAGGGGAAGCCCTGCCTGTGGGGCAGGAAAGCCCGAGGGGCTGGTTACAAGGGACAGTCTGTGTGTCTCCCTGTCTCCTGCCCTGCGTCAGTTCGAAGCCCTTCCCTCCCGGCCTGGTGTTCCTGGTCCCTTCCCCTGAATCTCTTCCTTTTGCCCAACCTCCAACCTCCCCCACGACTGCCTTCCAACACAGCAAGTGGCACAGTCGCAGGCCATTGCTAACAATCTGAACCAYGGCTGACGCCTCTTGTTGAAATGCTAATAACATGTTGGACATGCCAGGCTGAAATTTTAAATTTAAAAAAATTGCCAGGCCCAATGGTGCATGCCTGTAATTGCAGCGACTCAGGAGGCAGAGGCAGGAAGATGTTCAAGGCCAACCAGGGGAACTTAGCAAGATCCTGTCTCAAAATTAAAAATAAAAAGGGTCAGAGATGTAGCTCCATGGTGGAGGGCCCCTGGGTTCAATCCTCAATGCCACATCCAAAAATATTAGACTAAAAAGTTAATTTTAAATACATTAATTCTAATATTTTGATAGATTCTAATATTCTAATATATTAATATTAATATTTATAGGTCATTTAAATTCACTTAAATTAACTTGAATTTTAAATAGTTTGAATTGAATATAATTTTGATTAATGAAAATTATACTTTCTAATTTTTAAAATTAAAAAAAGTAACTTCACCTGTTTCTTTTACTTTTTTAATGGTACTACTAGAAACTTTTAAATTGAATATATATAGGTCTGGGGGTAAAGCTCAGTGGTAGAGTACTTGCCTATTATGTGCAAGGACCTGGTTCCGTCCCCAGCACTGCCAAACAGATAAATAAATAACTTACATATGTAGCTCACATTATATTTCCATTGGTGCTCCTCTATAATTTACTTATGTATTATGTTGATTTTACCTCATAAATAGTCCTCTGCTAGAATGTAAGTCCCATGAGGGCAGGGCATTTTGGTCTGTCTTGTTCACTGCCATATTCCCAAGGCCTAGTATATTGCCTTATCCATACCTAGTAGGTGCTCAATAAATACTGGTTAAATAAATGAATGGCTAAATTTCAGTGCAATTATGTCCTGTAGTTTTTTGTTTGTGTATGTGGTGTGTGTGTGTGTGCGCGCGCGCCCTGGGGCTTGAATCCAGTCTACTATGGTTTGAATATTTCCCTCAAAGTTCACATGCTACTTAATCCCCAGTGTGACAGTGTTGGGTGGTGAGGCCTCATAATAAGCAGGTAGATTCTGAGGGCAGGAGAGGGTTAGCAGTTAAAAAAGTGGATCTGGCACAAAAGTGAATTTGACTTCTCTTGCCTGGCACCGCCCCCCACCCCCCCACCCCCCCCACCCCCCCCCACCCCCACCCCCCCGCCCTTCTGCCTTCTGCCATTTACACAGAGGGAGGCTGCCTTCCTCTCTCTCTCTCTCTCTCTGACTGTATACGCTGAGTCACGCACTGTGCTTTAGTCATGTAGCAAATTCTCAGACATCCTGCAGGAGGAGAAAGGGAAGTTCTGAGGGTNGCAGGAGAGGGTTAGCAGTTAAAAAAGTGGATCTGGCACAAAAGTGAATTTGACTTCTCTTGCCTGGCACCGCCCCCCACCCCCCCACCCCCCCCCCCCCCCACCCCCCACCCCCGCCCTTCTGCCTTCTGCCATGGGATTACACAGAGGGAGGCTGCCTTCCTCAGATGCTGATACTCTCTGACTGTATACGCTGAGTCACGCACTGTGCTTTAGTCATGTAGCAAATTCTCAGACATCCTGCAGGAGGAGAAAGGGAAGTTCTGAGGGTTAAATAACTGCCAACTCAGAGTCCTTCAGAACTGAGGTCTCAGTCCCCCTGAGCCAGGTGGTCCGGCTGCACAGGACATGCTGACGGCCATGTATAAGTGGGAACATGTACCTGGCTTATTTCATTCAACATAACATCCTCCTGTCAGGCAGATTGTATTCTTGAGAAGCACCCAGGATTGGCTTTGAATTTCACTGTATCCACCTACAACGGGGTGGCCTGGGGCAAGTGAGTTAGTTAATCTTCTTTATTTTATATTTTTTGGTACCAGGGATTGAACTCAGGGGCCCTTGCCCCCTGAGCCCCATCCCCAGCCCTAGTTTGTGTTTTATTTAGAGACAGGGTCTCACTGAGTTGCTTAGCACCTCACTTTTGCTGAGACTGGCTTTGAACTCRTGATCCTCCTGCCTCAGCCTCCTGAGCCGCTGGGATTACAGGTCTGCGCTACCATGCTGGCTGAGTTAGTTTTTCTTGACCATCTATAAAACAGAAGTATGGCTCTGATAGGTTTTTGAGACAACTTTGTATAAAGGGCATAATGCCCTGAACTTCAGTGGTTCAAAGCAGGCTCCGCATCTCAGGACACTCATAACCACCTCTTCCCACCAAAATAGCAGTCACATTTAGTAAGTAGGCAGATCAAAACGACTTATATTTATAACCTAACAACTGAGCATCTGCTTGAAAAAAATAATGTGCATAACTTGAAAAATCATCTTTTGGTTCACTTATACACCTGCAGTAGGATTCATGGGATGCATGCGGCGGGCTTTGCACCACTGCTCGAACTTTGGCATTATATTGGACACCACCACCTTTATTTCCTGCTCCGCAGTAATTTTTTTCAAGGCACTTTGCTCTTTATCTCAAGAACGGCCATAAACTCAGCCTCAGGAAGTCGCGATGACATCCTGCAACGTTGCCTCCTTCAACCTTCGCAGGAAAACCTCGAGCTGGTAGTTCACAGGGTGGCCGACAGATGGCGCTGTGTTTCCTCCAAAATTTCTCTCCTCGCTTCCCGCCCCAAACCCTGGGAAGCCAGATTGGCCGCGTTGAAGCTTTTTCGTGGAAATAGGCAAGTGCTGCAGATCTGGTCGGGTGGGAGGTTTGGGGTCGTTTCTTTAATTGCTTCTTTGGTGTTCAGAAGGCCAACCTGATACTCCTCCCATTCCTGATGAGCTCCAGAGACAAACAAAACTTGGGTTTCAATCTCAGCTCCATTATTCAGGAGCTCTGGACAGGAGGCGATGGCCTGAATCTCTCTGCACCTGTTTGGTTTTTTAGTTTGTTTTAGTTTTGTTTTTAGTTGTTGTTGTTGTTTGCCAGGGATAGAACCCAGGGGCACTTCACCACTGAGCCACATCCCCAGCCCTTTTTTTTTTTTTGTATTTTCTTTTGGAGACAGTGTCTTGCTAAATTGCTTAGGGCCTCCCTAAATTGCTGAGGCTGGCTTAGAACTCTCGGTGCTCCTGCCTCAACCTCCATAAGGGTTGGGATTACAGGTGTGAACTACCACACCCGGCTGTGCACCTGCTTTTTATTGCAAGGAAGGAGTGGTAACGATACTTCCTCTTAGAGTTTTATGAGGGTTAAATATGGTGTAAAGGCTTGGCATGGCTTTTCTGTTCCTGAAGTGTTGGCCTCCCCAGGCAATGTTGACCATGACGATGGTGATGTCCAAGTCCCTGTTGGGGCCCTTCCTC